TTTAATGATGCTTTATAACTTTAGTTTGGTCAAATAACGTGTTTTGGGCCATAATTTGTTGTTAAACAAGATGAAAAATCATATTGTCATTTTCAATGAAAAATGAAGAAAACCAGACATGACTATGGGGGTTTTTCATACTAGACAAAGGAAATGTATCCAAATTCCCTACAGTCTCTCAGAATACAGTGATTAGTATGTTCATGGCCTCTCTTTAAAAATAATACCAAATTGACAATAGGTATCGTGAATACTTTTCACATGATTTCAAATTGAATTCCATAAAAATACTAGTTTTATATAATTCTGTTTACGACGTAGGACAGTGTAAATCAGAAACTCGAGCATCTTTTTTAATATGAGCTTCCAAGTACTTGTGTGAACAATCAGAATGTTTTTGACAAAATAATTATTAAAAGAATAAAATCCTTTATTGGCATTTTGAAGTTTAAGAAATGACTGATTGCTTAAGGTCGAGATCTAGTTAATTGACTTTAAACTTATTTTTGATGCTAGATCCATTAAGACGTCATAATCAATTATTTCAACTTTCTTTTTCCCATACTCTGTAATTGTTTTTGAAGACCAGGTCTTCCAGCAATCTATTGGCATTCCCATGGGTACCATTTGCGCCCCGTTATTAGCAGACCTAGAACATTGACTGGAACCCGCCATATTTCTTTGTTTGTAAGAATTTTATAACGATTCTAAAGTATTCTTAAAGATACATTTATTAAGAAAGTGAATGTCCTGTAATATAGACTTAGATACCAATGTTTATTAGAATAATGTCAAATAAGATTTTTTTCATGTTTCTCAATGATAGCCAGGAAATGCTTTGTAATACACTATGCCTAATTCATAATAAAATGATTGAATGAAACATATGGAGATAACAAATAGTATTCAAGATCAAAAACTAATAAAATAATACAAACTAGGAGCAGATGATAATATTGAAGTAGAAATACCATGGACACCAGTCTGTTTTGAAGTGACATACCGAAAGAAGGTGTCTAAGATATTTTTTTTTCATTTACATTAGCAATTTCAAAATCTTTCAAATACATAAACCTAGTTATTGTAGTTTTAATGTAATGAAAATGATTTAAAAATCTAAAGATTCCTTGAATTCAAATATATACGTGATATGACCTTACCTTTAGAATCATCCAAATTTCTTTTCTTAATCCAGTTTTTATAATCAAAAAAGTAAATGAATGATATTTTGGCATTGTAAGGCTTCAAATGCACGCTTATTTCCGATATGAACGATGTTCAAATATATTGTGTTGTATTTAATCTCCACTTAATATGTATATTTATAACTTAGACAAACTAAATGAATCTCTACCCCTATTGTAGTCAACAGATTATTCAGATAACAATATTGTGTAAACTAAAATTATGTTTACACGGGGCAGCAGTAAACAGGAACCTTTATTTTTAAACATTGAATGAAAAAAAAGGATATTTGTAAAGTAAATCATTTCACTCCTTTGAAAGTGACACATGGCGACAACAAGGTACACATCTTAAACATTGAGAACATATGTGAAGAATCTTAACTTCTGTGGACAAGTAAGGGAATGGGCAAGGAGCTCGTTCATTTCAAGATTTTTTACAACAGCGTGTTTGTTTCTTTTGTATCATTTATCCTAAAGGTGAAATATCCCTCTGCTCCATATTTCACCATGTTCTTTTTAATTCCAATCATATATTTTTTATCAACGGCTTAAAGTTTGACAAGTTGCTTACTTTTTTCAGAAATGAATATTATGTCAAATCATGTGACGAAAATTTGATATGATAAATAAAAAGAAAAAATTTTAATCTCACAATAGAAGAAGAAATATGAGGTTTATATGACAATCATATTTACTATCGTGCATATCTAATTCTCATTAGAAAACATACTGAACCGTTGCCTTTTAAATCAGAATATCAAAATGTTTTCTGTGCTTGTAAAATAATACGCATCCATCAACAAGAGTTATCTTTCCGTCACCCCCCGTGAAAATATTTTTAGTGAAACAACATATTAAATGTTTATAAGCAATTCTGAATCGGAAATTTCTGTAACAATCAAATGACTTATATTAAGAGATAGAAAATATCTCAATTTACATCTTAAAAGGAACTGAGTATAAATGTTTAAAGTAAACTGTTATAAATAATTAATGAAAGTATTGGCAATAGAAAGTAAAAATCAACATTTGTACATTAGAACAGATTTGACTGAGCTGACTACAGAATTGTCCTTATTAATGAAATCTGTAAAGTTTGAATTGGCAATTTACTGAATTTTATGGAAAAATGTATTCAGGAAGTTATCTCTTTTATCAGAGGGATATACTACACCTTAAATAGTTTAAATAAACTAAAGGTGGATCAATATTTTACACATGCCAGGCTATTATGAAGGTCATACAAACGTCGCATGATTTCCTGATCACATGCCTAATTCACTACCTTGAAATCATCGTGGGTTTATTTATCTTTGTTTAAACTTTCGATATAAGTCCTTAAAGATTTTTAAAAAATATATATTAGTATATAGTGTTAGTCATATCAATCAATGAGGTAATCGATTTATACACAGTACATCTTGCTATTGATTGAGATTCACCTAGCATGCACATGACCTACATTGCTGGTTTTCCATCTGATGACAAATAATGTATGTCCTGTTCAAGTCCTTGGAAAAAGTCCAAATACATTGATTAAACTTTAAAATGCATTTGTTTAAATTGTCGTAATATCTAAATACTAAAAACAGACCAATCATACAAAGTCATCGTGATCTGACACGGCTGTAAAACAAAAATAGTTATTTAAACTATAGGACTATTTAAGATAAATAAAATTTAATTCACTTAGATAAAGTTTACAGAAATAAATGTTTTCCATTATAATTTTTATTTTATTAAATTTAGACTCCTTTTACTGAGGCTAAACCTCATAGTAAGTTCACTTGAAAATGACAGTCATTCACATATAATACGGTATGTATTTAACAAACCATCGATTTGCCAATATTTACTTGTAACCTTTCAATGCACATTGTGCAATTTCATTATAACATGTAAATCGCGGTGGGTATTTTAATTTTTTAATAATACAATAAATAATTTATTGTATTATAAAATTGATTTCAACTTTTTAAAGTGCATAAACACAGATTTGAAGTTAATAATTTCTCAAATTTTCTGTATAATATCTTGACTTATATATTGCAATAGCATTTCACAAAAAAATATTTTAATATTTTTCCATCTAAACGTTATTGAAACTTCATATTTTTGGACGGGTTTTATTGACACATCCTTACACTTTCACAAATTTTAATTCATTCTTAATACTTATGAAATACGTGTGAAATACTATTACAACATATAGTCGTGATATTATATACAGAATATATTAACTTCAAATCTGTGTCTATGCACCTTTAACAGTTGTTAGACCATTAAAATATAATCAGTATGTGTTGATATTTTTAAAATGTATTATATGAGTGCTTATGATTAATAAAGACAAGAGCTTAAAGAACGAGCGCACTTATAGGCCCCGGTAAAATGTTGAAAAAATAAACAACCAAATTAAGCAAAATTTTTCATCTCAAAGCATTGACTGATATCTAAACCATACGATTCAACAAATTTTACCGCTGAAATTCACGAATATACAAAGAACAAACCATACATTGTGGTAGGGTTCAGCCGACATTTGTGATTTTCTGTAATAAATCGAGAACGGTCATTCATTTCAGAGCTATTGGTTACTATGATCCTAACGTTGTGCAAACTTGTACGAATGACAAAAGACGCATAGTACATTTAGAAAACTTGTGTGAAAGTAGAAAACTTGCACACGATTAGGCTGGTACTTAAAATATTAAAAATATGTAAAAAGTACATTTTTTTCCTATAGCAAGTGAGAGCTATTTACCTGTATGACCATGTTGAACCCACGTGTGGAATAAATTATTTAAAATACTGATAGTCACGTGAGCTCTACCCAGGTAAACATTCCTCAAAAGTGCTCACTGTAAAACATAGGCAGATTTTGTATCATTAGTCAGAGTTGTGCCTCTTAGATATATTTGTATGTAGTTTTTTTAAGAACACGGGAGGGTAAAAAGAGTTTAGTGCCATTCATAGACGACTTAGGGTCAAACATTTTTAACATTCATGCAAGACAACGAAACAGGTATTGAAAGCCACCTAATTAAACAATCCTCTTTATTTCAAAACCAGTGAAACCATTATTGTAATTTTTCAAATGCAAGAATACCAAACATTATGGTTAAAGGCAACTACACAACTTCATTCAATTTTTAAAGATAGATTTGGTGCAGGAAGTAACATTTCGCAAACGCGCCCGACTATGATCCACCATCAGATGTACAAGTATCTCGTCCCCTTGATTTACATAAACGAAACTTAAAAAGGGGGTTCGATACGACTTTGGATTTGGAATAGCTGATTTAGGTGATGATGCTTAATGTGCTTTTTAATTAGAAATATCAATTAGTATCCAACTATTACATAAAGAGAACGATTTGGTAATATATTCTTTATAGTAAAATGACACATAAAAAGGCCCCATTAAGTATTGCTTAATTAAGTGCCCTTTCTTTTCATAATATTCAAATATAAAGTGTAATTACTTTTTAAAATCCAGTCTACTACTGTTACAACTGTACTTGTGATCATATACGGAATTGGTAAGATAGTGGTTTTGACTTCAAGTTGGTGTTCTATCTTAGACATTCAAGTCTTTACAATGTCGGTAATGTAACAATCAAAAGTCATTAACTGTAACGGTTGGTAATGTTAAGAAAAAAAAGTATATAACTCTAAATTTGGGTTAAGAATGCATGCTTTTACTTGATTTACATAAAATATAAAAAAAAATATTTAAACAGCAATTTACATACAATGTAGCATCCCCCCCCCTTTTTTTTAAATCAACTTTTCAGGATTGTCTTTGTCGATCACTTGATATCACTGAATTTGTTTCAATATATCAGAGTTCAGCTCAAGTCGTCCTAAATGTAAGGCTCAGTAAAAATAAAATCTGTATTCATTTCTCTAACCGACCGGTCCTACATCTGACTGTGTATAGTCAAACGTTGGGTAATATTACCTCTTTCGTTCATTCTGAAATCTGAATCACCTTAGCACTTCGGATCAATTTCATATCTTTTCTCAGACTTTGCCAATTTTGTTTAGTAATTTCAAACACTATACAGAGTTCCGTATGAATTTTTAAATGATCAAAAAGTTCATCAAAATCTTTTGTGATTTGTTCTCCAGCTGAAAAGTAACCGGAGCGGAATATCATGATGTCTTTTTGATTTAATTCGGCTTTCCAACTCCCTGGTGTATTGTTAATGTAGGCAAGCTTAGAGACGCCATACCTTTGGATTATTGGCTGTAGTAATTTTGCAGTTTGAATCGTGTCTTTAGTGACAATCACCCACACACGTGAAATATCAAAATTGATATTTGTGTAGTTCTCTCTTTCGTCTGTATCGCCTACAATAAAGATTTGTTTTTTTTTAATAGAAAAGCGAATAAATTGATTTTATGACGGCTTAAGTTTTATCTTTTTTTAACTCTGTAATATCAAAAATTAACATGCCATTGACTACTTTTGGTTAGGGCTACCGCTGGGTAAATACCGTATACACCGATTTATTAGCGAGGATTCGATTTAGGAATTTAAAACGATGTTGAGATTGTTAAAACTGAATGGCTAAAATAAGGTATCGATCATTAAAAAAAACCCTCTTTATTTTCATTTCGTTTGAAATCCAAAATGGTATAAGAACATGGTAGTTTTATAAAGGGAATAAAGGGTTTTTGTGTGTTTTATATAGAGAGATACAAATTGAAGAGGTTTATAAAAACAAAAATCAAATACCAAAGGGAAGAGCTTTTTGCATTTGGTTTGATAGTTTCCCATTTATCTAGAAAAACAGCTCATATATAACCCATGTTTATTTTTTGAATGTACCAATCATGTTTTAATGATATAGCAATAATAAAAATGAGAAATTTTCTCTCACTCAAATTTGCATTAACAGCGTTATGAACAGTTTGTTAACACGCTGATGTATGAGATGTATGCCGCGGTTAGAAGTGGCATACTCTCAACAACACATAACACTTACATGGTTGGGATGAATAAAAGTTACCGAAGTAAAAACAATCACTTGATTACTCTATTCAACATAGATTGAACGCAACCAAAACAATTTATAAAAGTTAGAAACGTATAAATTAAATCAGAAGAATGTAAATCTGTAATCTTTGTGTTTTGAAACTGAATTTAACATGTTTAAATATGCATAGAAAATTTCTAACAATCTGTAATACCTATTTACATGTAGCTAGTCTAAATGTTCAAGGTAACAATTTTTCATCAGAGGAAATGATATCGGAGATGCAAAGATGAATCAATATATATATATATATATTTAAATATTTGGGTGAATCAAAAGATTTTAATAGTTGTACTTTGTGATACATAACTGAATGAGTTCCATTAATTAAATATGTAGATATATTGCACATGAATTAAATAAATCCAATCTTATTCGTGGTGAATGCAAGGGAAATGGAGATTTAAAAAAAACCACAAACTAGACATCATATAAACCTAACATATATAAATACATATTAGTTAAGAAAAAAGACCCTCTTTGGACACTGTGAATTGGTTTCTATTGTGTATATTGTGTTGGTATTAAATTTTCTTGTTTCTTTTTTTTAAATACATGTATTCAGATTAATTGTCATCGATCAAATAATCTGTGTCACTGAAGAGTTTTATGATGAATGTTTCATTATGGGAGGCAACTGCCTTAGAAACCTGTTTTCATATAAATCTTCTTTTATGAAGGCTGAATCTGAAGAATGAATACTTGAAAATTTGAAAAATAATAGATATTTGTTATAACTATCCACTTTTATAAAATGAAAAACAGAGAAGATACTAATGATCCATTAGTCTAAGAAAAAAAAAGTTTTTAGGAATTATCTTACAGTAAATCTATCAATACATGGGATTTAAAACCCCATGATAAAGAAACGTGGGAGAAAAAACCCCATATGACAATATAAGCAACATATGGGTTTAAAAAACCTACATTGATTTTCGTAGGGTTATTTCCCCCATGGGGTGAAAAATAAACCCCATGGGTTTTTTTGTGGGGGTTTTTGTGGGGTATTTTTAAGTTCATGTTTCCCCATGGATTTTTTCTTGAACTCAAATATCTCATAAATCAATTTGATTATAAAAGCCCCACCCTTTAAAAAAAACCTTAAGATGATAGCTTTAAAGGAAAAGGGTGCGCAAGTTCGGAAAAATTTCCATTCCGAAGTTGTCCGTCCCATATATATATATATATATATATATATATATATATATATATATATATATATATATATATATATATATATATATATATATATATAAAGCACTAAAAATGACCAACGACACGAACAATAAAAATTGTCAAATTTTCGGGACGCCCTGTCCCTTCCTCAGGACAAAGAAAAAAGTTAAAAAGTCATAAGAACAAAGGAAAAAGAGAAACAAAAACAACTAGCACTACTACTAAACTACTAAACACTAGATATTTACATACTTAATTACATGATGAATTGGAAATTTTTAAGAACACTAATAAAGAAAGAAATCCGGACCGCTATGAAATGCGTCCGGTCTATCGGGTATACTCGGGTGAAGTGCGATTTACATAATTGAACGAATTAATTATGCTAATTAATTACGACAATCAGTAAATCGTACATTGTTTCATTCTCTCAAAATGGCGTAAATTTACTTAATAAAGAATAATCGAAGAAAAATAATATAGCAGGGATATTTAAACATATGAATTATGATCAATTATAAATTTTGAAATATTTAAGGACTTATTACCGGGAAAAAAATAATTAACAAAGGTGTAAGCAATACATAGTTATGAAAGTTGTTCGAGAGTTGGTGACGCAAATTAACTGAAGAGTTTACACTAAATTGAGAGAATAATCTTGTTTAGTATCATCAGGAATTGGGTCTAGTGTCCTCCCATTTGTGACCCTCAAGGTTGAAATGTTCCCCAACAGGTTCATTGAGTTTTTTGGTCCTAATGGTCGAACGGTGGTTATTGACTCTCCTGCGGAGATCTCCTGTTTCACCAATACACTGTTTGGAGCAAACTTTGCAACTGATGAGATAAATGCAGTTGTCAGTATGACAGGACAAATTCCCTAGTATTTTGTAGCTGCGGCCTGTAACAGGGCTGTTAAAACTGTCTGTGTCAGTGTTGTGCTTACAAAGAAGACATCTTCTGTCGGAGCAAGTTTTAAAGCCCCCGTTAGGTAATGGGTTGTCCAGTCTGGTTCTTACTACCATGTCCTTTAGGTTCCTTGGGCGTCTGTATGCAGCCAATGGGGGTTCCTTAAAGACCTCTGCCATTCGTTTGTTTGAATGGAGAATTGGTAGGTTCTTTTGAAGGATACCGCTAAGGTTCTTAAGGACGGGATGGTATGTGGTTACCAGAGGGACCCTGCCGCTATTGTCTTTCTCCTTGTAGCGTAATAGGTTTTGCCTGTCATGTCCCGTCATCTCATCAATAGCTGTTTGTACGGTGCGGGCATTGTAGCCTCTTTTGCATAAGTGGGACTTAAGAAGACCACTTTGCTCCTGATATAAGGCAGGGGACGAACAGATGCGTCGAATTCTGGTGGCTAGACCCTTAGGCACTCCCTTAAAAGTGTGTGGGGGATGACAGCTAGAGGGCATAAGATATAGGTGGGAGTCTGTGGGTTTGGTGTGGAGACTGAATTCGATTTCACCATCAATCAGGGTAGATGTAGTATCTAGGAATACGTTTTTCGAGTTAGATACGTCTACTGTAAATTTGATCGATTGATGAAAGGTGTTGGCAAACGTAATGAATGCCTCGAGGCTCTCGCGACATTCCACCCACTTCATCTCTATATCGTCAATGAAACGCAACCAGCTATGGGGCCTAAATGGTGCTTGAAGTAACAAGTTGCGTTCCAGTCTGCCCATGAAGACATTGGCATAAGACGGTGCCATTTTCGTACCCATAGCAGTGCCATTAACCTGCAGGTAATGTTCTCCATTAAACATGAAGTTGTTGAACTTGAGAACATGTTCAAGGAGCTTAGCAAGGGACTCTGTAGAAGGAATTTGTATGGATCTACTATCCCAGACTTCTCTACAGGCTTCGATACCCTCATCGTGTGGAATATTGGTGTACAAAGATGTGACGTCCATAGTCACGAGGAGGGTATGATTTGGGAGGCCAGTAGAGGGCGTCTTGTTAATGTAGTCCGTGGTGTCCATGAGATAGGATGGCAAATTCTCTACGTGTGGACGGAGATGTAAATCAATGAATTCAGAAATTTTCTCCGTGGGGTGTCCAATTGCGCTGACTATGGGGCGACCTGGCATGCCTTCTTTGTGTATTTTAGGAAGCAGATAGAATTGTCCTGGTCTACAGTCAATAGGATTTAAGGTCTCATAGACGTTGATACCAATCTCATTTTTCTCAAACATATCGTCAAGAGTTTTGGTAATGGCGGTGGAGAATTCTTTAGTAGGGTCAGAGTCCAGTTTCTTATAGAAACGTTCGTCTGAGAGTTGTCTTTGGGCCTCCGCCATGTAAGTCTCTTTATCCATTACTACAACTGTAGAGCCTTTGTCTGCTTTCTTGATTACAATGTCATCCCGATTTTTTAATGATTGTAAGGCAGATCTCTCTTCCTTACTCAAATTGTCGGGAGTCTTGTCTGGCATTGAAAGGAGCTTCTCTATGTCTGACTCAACGGCGTCAATATACGACTCAAGCGCGCCGCACTTGCCCGGTGCAGGTTCCCAGTCACTCTTGGGCTTATAGAGTTTGTGTTCCTCTAGATCGTGTAAATCTGGCTTGGAAGAGTCGTATGAATTTACTTCGGAGTCTTTTCTAGAGAAGTGCTCCTTCAAACGAAGTCTCCGGAAGAATGCTCGGGTGTCCTCTCTGACTTGTTTTTCGTCGACCTCATGTGGTGTGGGGCAGAAATTTAGCCCCTTGGAAAGAAGTGAGGTCTCCGATTCGGAGATAGGAGCACTAGATGTATTGAGCACTGGGCAGACGTCAGGAGTTTGTATGGGTCCGTCCCTCGCGATTGTCTTAATGCGTTTGAAGCGTCTCGAGCGGGGTTTGCGTGTTTTGTTAACTCTGACCTCTGACCAGTTGTTCCTAGACTGTGGAACACTGTCGCGGAGAAATTTCTTTTTTTGAGTCTTGTTGACTTTATTTGTTAGGGCCATATTATAGGTGTCTATAATATTATGGGCTTCATCAAGATCGGCCTGGGACATGATATCGTTGAGGGATGATTCTAAGGACTTGATCTCACTCTTCAATTGTCCTAACTTGTGGATATCCCAAGAAAGACAGAGTGACATCAATTGTTTAGAACATCTACTTGTAATAACGTCCCAGCGTTCCTGAAAGCGTTTGGAGATTGGCCCTATGTTAGGTGTAACATTTATCTGAAAACCTTTCGGAATAATGTCACACTCTAAGTAGGTCTGTAAATTGGAGACCCGGTGTTCAGTTTTTATTGATTTTTGATGTTCTTTCTTTAGAAGTTTAAATGTTGGGTTATCTTTAATAGACATATTTGAATGGAAATTAGAATTGCCAAAATGATAAGACTACTTTAAAGTTTTTAGTCGTATTAAGTCGAAAGATTCAACGAACGATTGTTCTGTATTCTAAAGGATTTCGTAGATAACTCGTGCACGAATTCAAAAATATTAAAAACAAACGGTACGTGAGTAAAAATCGAAAGGGAAAAGTGGAAAGAACGTATTTGCAATGGTTGGAAACAAAATAAATAGTAAAAAACGTCAAATGATGAAAGACATGACCAAAAATAAATGATAAGAACAGAAAATATAGACAAAGAAATGATGGATATACGGGTGGATCTGTGAAGATACAGTTGGCGAAAAAGGATATAAAAAGCACTAAAAAACCAACAACACTGTATATCCTAAATGTCGGATCTACCAAGTAGATACAAGGTCACGGATGGAAATTTATATAAAGCACTAAAAATGACCAACGACACGAACAATAAAAAAGAGAAAAAGCAAAGAAAAATTCTGGATGCACAGATTGAAGTCATTCCGCCCTAATGGTATTAACAAACTAAATGACTTCACCAGAATGAACGTAAACTAGACCCAATTCCTGATGATACTAAACAAGATTATTCTCTCAATTTAGTGTAAACTCTTCAGTTAATTTGCGTCACCAACTGTCGAACAACTTTCATAACTATGTATTGCTTACACCTTTGTTAATTATTTTTTTCCCGGTAATAAGTCCTTAAATATTTCAAAATTTATAATTGATCATAATTCATATGTTTAAATATCCCTGCTATATTATTTTTCTTCGATTATTCTTTATTAAGTAAATTTACGCCATTTTGAGAGAATGAAACAATGTACGATTTACTGATTGTCGTAATTAATTAGCATAATTAATTCGTTCAATTATGTAAATCGCACTTCACCCGAGTATACCCGATAGACCGGACGCATTTCATAGCGGTCCGGATTTCTTTCTTTATTAGTGTTCTTAAAAATTTCCAATTCATCATGTAATTAAGTATGTAAATATCTAGTGTTTAGTAGTTTAGTAGTAGTGCTAGTTGTTTTTGTTTCTCTTTTTCCTTTGTTCTTATGACTTTTTAACTTTTTTCTTTGTCCTGAGGAAGGGACAGGGCGTCCCGAAAATTTGACAATTTTTATTGTTCGTGTCGTTGGTCATTTTTAGTGCTTTATATAAATTTCCATCCGTGACCTTGTATCTACTTGGTAGATCCGACATTTAGGATATACAGTGTTGTTGGTTTTTTAGTGCTTTACATATATATATATATATATATATATATATATATATATATATATATATATATATATATATATATATATATATATATAACTTATATTATTCTCTTGTCATCGTCTTTAAATATATAGGTAAGTTTAAACTTTTTGTTAGATTCTTTATCGTCTTGACAATATGATTATTACTGGAAATTATTCAGACAAATATCTGAATAATTTAGACTATAAAACAGTTTGCCTCACAATTTCAATCAAGGGGTATATAAGATTAAATTAAGTTATATAACATACTATATAATTATATTTATAGTTAATAACGTTTCAGTATAAACAAAATCAGCTAAGACGTGCTGAAGATATGAAAATTAAAAACATTATATAACATCATTCAGCTTTCTATTTGATACATACTAATGAGTCGTGTATCCTCATCTTCATGAGATATTTTAACATTTCCTCGTGTTTTTGGAGTCACTGTAGAAAAAAATTAAAGGTGAGATTAGTATTTTTCAAATAATACATTTCTTCAACTTGTTTGTGAATAATTTACATCGTCTTATAAATTGTACATACGTGCAGCATGCTCTTGCGTATCGAATCAATTGAGATACAGTATATTTTGCCCTCGTCCGATATACTTTTGTATTGTTTATACATTTCTTGACCAACAAGGTGTTATCAAACACAGTTAATGATAAACATCTTCTTTTCTTTTGTAAAATTAACTATGAATCATATCTTTTAATTAATAGTGAATTTTAAATATGTTCAGGTGGCGCAACCTAGAATTTAACGTAATTTCTATTTTGAGTGTTACAATGAAAGTTAACTCTTTTTATATGTGCGCTTGCCATGCGAAAATTCACATCAATTTACTCATGTGGTATGATACAATTTTTCAGTTAAAAAGGTTGTAATTTTTACATAATTCTGTACGTTTGTTTTAAAAGATTAGAAATTAACAGAAAGAAGGCTTGTATTTTTTTATTTACTGTGCAATCATTTTAGTTCACAAGGATCAATGGTTATGAACATTTTTTTCCGGGTACGCGATTCGTTGGAAACTCGTATACACATAATTATGATTCAATGAATAAATGTCCTGAAAAATAATATTAATGTTCGTGGGGATAAATTGTGGATAAGAAGAGCCTTCGAAATCCAGACACATTGGTCTCCCACAAACATTGATGATTTCACAGTGTCTTAATAAAAAGTGGTACTCACGTGCATGATGGTTTTCCCTGATGTTGAAATATTTCTCATTTTCATCCTTATTTCTCAAACCTCTCTTATCTTAATATAGGAAATTGAAATTATCTTGATAAAGCCTTTGAGAGTACGAAATGATTTACTAACTAATCTCTTATCAATCTTGCTTTCAATAATTTAATTTTTCCTTCTAAGGGGAGACAGGACTCATGTCACGTGACTCAAAAGATAGATTACGTCAAAGTCACTGCTGATATACATGTAAAACTTTAAAATCAATGGTTCTTGTGTAATTTTATTCCAAAATATTTTCGAATCAACATTTACGTATTATAAAAAATTAAACAGTTTTGATCATCTAGATTCTTGTAAAAAAAAAAAAAAGAAAATATACATTCAAATTCATCTTGATAGCTAGTCCTATACACTCTATGTTTTTAGAAATTATTTATTTACTTGCAGTCCACTTTGAGTTGTTTAAAAAGTAACATAAATTAATTTTGTGTTACTTATATTAGGCTTTAAGGGGAGACAGGTCACATGACTCAAAGGACAGATAAGTCATAGTCGCTGCTGATGTATATCTGAAACGTTGTTGAAATCAACAGTTCTTGTGTAATTTTATTCAAAAATTATTTTGTTGAAACATTTATTAAAGTTCTTGGTAACATTTTGTGAAATTGCCACATCCACTCATCCGTTTCTTTACGCTGGAGTCTAATGTCAGTGACGTTAGTGACGAAGTGTTTGATTCTCAGTGCAACGAGATCAAGCACACATTGGTTACACGCGTCATGAATAATTTTATTTCATATTAAACATATCACTGTCATTGCATAGTGATGAATTTCTGAAGCAGATTTATTTTTCAAGTTTTCCTGTGGCGTCACAATTGATTTTCCATACTCGTAAAATGTAAATGTGAAGCATTTTTATTAAGGAATAACTGTCTAATTTTTTGGTTTCATGATGTGATCAATCGAGTGGCTTGCCTGATAATTTGCATAAACGCCGAATGCAAAAAACCCTGGGCAGTTGAAAATTTTCTAGCTTATCTCATATTTATCCCTTTATCTCTTGGATATTTCTTATTTGATTTTTGTATCCGATTCATTTTACAACACAATGTGTTTTTGTGAGAGTTTAAGTAAAATAAAGGAAATTCCTTTATTAAAAAAATATTGTAAATGATCGATAGTGATATTCAAAACATGAGATGAAAGGAATATCTCGTGATTTATGGTTGGATATGATTTTTGATGATTATGTTTTTTTTTTAAACGATGTATTTTTTCCCCTTGCCAAGACTCAAGGATGAAAAAACATCAAAAAGTTCTATGGATAAAAATCATATCCAAGCACAAATTATGGGAAATCCTATATTTCGTCAATAAAATATGAATTAAAAGAGTCATAAAATCTATCGTTACCTGAGTCATTGAGTGCAATATCTTCTTCTGTGTTTAGATTGTTATCTGTAATATAATTTAACATTCATTTAAATTGGGCTGATATTTGGTGAAATATTATTTTAAACATTATTTTAAAGGTGTTATAAAACATAAAATGTTTAAATTTAAAATTAAAATTCACTGCATCAACTCTTCTTACGCTCTTAACCAAAGCAATAATAAATCTATTTTTTTAAATTTTAAATTTTGAGTACATAAGGCGAGAGGAGATTCTTTTTGTCTAATTGGCACCCTCCATTGATGATTGACTGAATGTTGTTTAACGTTCCTCTCGAGAATTTTTCACTCATTTGGAGACGTCACCGTATGCCGATGAAGGGCTTCAAAATTAGACCTATACTCGGCACCCAGGGCAATTAAGCAGTGAGGGTTCTTTATCGTTCCAACGCCTACCGCGACACGGGACCTACGTTTTTAAAGTAATATCCTAAAGACCTGTGACTTTCACTTTTAATGCCAATCGTTTAGCGTCTTAGAATTGACACGGCGCTGCGAACGAGAATCGAACCCGGGTCTCCCGATCACAAAGCGAACGTTCTATCACAAGGCTACCGTGACCGGTGGCACACTCGAATGGACAGGGGAAAAAAACTATATACCCCTTAATCGTAAAAAGTAATTACCTGTTTGTTTTCTTCTTTTCAACACAATACATATCACAACAGAGACAGTGGATATTAGAAGTACCATGCAGGCGATGACAACAATAATAACTATGAGATTGATAGAGTCCTGAGGGTCGGCTTCTGTAGTCGTCATGTGCTGAAAACTTTAAGAATTTTTAGCTTCTTTGAGAAAGGCACTTTTCAAAAAGTAAAAAAAAAAAATGGTGAAATTGGACTGCCTTGGCTCCAAACTGGGGATAATTGAATTCAAAATAAATACTACTGTAGAAGCACAAATTTTCGTGGGCATAAAATTTCGTTGTTTTCTCATCAAAAATAGTTTCGTGGGCATTTAATTTCGTTGTTTTGAAAGTAACCCTATTCAATATATAGTCATATAAAATTTCGTGTGGGATTTAATTTCGTTGAATATTGTTAACAACGAAATAAACGAAATTTAATCCCCCACGAATATTTGTGCTTTTACGGTATTTTCTTTATATTTGAACTTATTTGTGTGTAAATTTCATTTATTTAAGTAAAATTATTGACAAACTGTAATAATGACATATTTACAATAGATTCAGATATTTAAAATTTTGTTAATCTGAGAAACTTACGTCTTATTTATGAATACAATAATACATATTCAGCCAAAGTGTAACAATATATATACCCGATATTATATAGGAAATAAGTAAGGACAATCATTGCATGGTGAAATGTGAGTTATGAATACAATTTTAAACCCATTTGAATCAATTTATAAGCATTGGGGTTGCAATATTAGTGATTTTTCATAATTTTTTCCCTCACATTTTTTTTCTTTTCAAAAAAACTTCTCTATCACTCATTAAACAAAAATAACATTTTAAAAATTTTCGGGAGCATTATTACGAGGGTTGATCCAAAAGTAATGTCACAGTGTCCATATCTTTTATATTTCGCGTCATTTATTCAAATACAATATGCCAAAAGATGCACAAATATCAATCTTATTAACATTGAAATTTTAATTTAATAATGTTTATTTGAATTTATTTTATGGATGTTTAAAATATAGAGCATAGGGGGTGTCGCCGCGTTACAACGAAACATCACGTTTTAAAGTGTATTTTTTCTTAGAATGACAAAGACAAACACATTAAAAAGATTCTAAAAAGCACACAATCTCTTAATTTTTTTTAAGACACAATTCTCGTAATATTCTGGTCTTTAATTTAAAATTAATGAAGGCATTGGTATTTGCGATCATAAACATTGTTGTTTTACTCTTTTGAATTGAACAAAGGGATTGTCGAAACGGGGAATAAAAGGTTCGACGAGTTGTCATGGATTTTTGCTTTAAAACATGGGAATCATCACTAGCGATATTTTCGTTAATCAACCAGACTTACAGAATAAAGAATGTAAATAAGAGACATCTTAAAAGATCGTTTCAGCAATTTTGGGCGGGTGATCGGTCACTGAATGATTAGCAGAGGACAAGAAGTCGGAGAGGTAGGAGATCGGACGGAAACGTGCTGACATCAAAAAAGACAGACGTATAGAGTTACATGTTAACTTTTGAGTTTGTCTTATACTACTGTTCAAAAAATTTTGACAGAGGGCTAAATTATGAAAAGAGTGAGCGTATAATGGTACTACTACAAGGGCGCATTGTTTAACATCCGATATTTTGAAAAGTATACATCATATTCCTTTGAATTTTTTAGGTCTTAAAACTTCCATCATGTGTAATTTTGTTGCTTTACGTCGATTTATAGCAATTTTATCAAAGTTGTGACATTACTTTTAGATCAACCCTCGTATATCTCCCTCTTTTAAAAAAATTTAACAGTAAGAATTACCTGAGTGTGCTTGCTATTCTAGTCCTATCCAGGCACACGGAAACTGAAATAGATGAAGTCGATTGAAAAATATACTGGTAGCCATTTTTTGAAATTATATTGCATTTTATATTTCTTTAATGGATATAGACAATACAGATTTCATAATATGAATGTTTTGAAAATTTAGGTTTTTTTCGACCATTACAGTAATATTACATTGGTTTATATCATTACATTTGTATACTTCATTAGACCAGAATGTACTGTTAGGACAGCCATCAAGCAGACATGCTGTAGCATCGATCCTACCGGCCTCTGAGTTATACTCTGGGCACATATCTGTAAAAGAAAAGTAAAAACACTATAGCATCCATACATTTGTAAGTGAAAGGTTTAAATAATATCAAATTAAGGAACAGCTTTTATTACTAAGTAAAGAAAGAATAGCTTTTCTCCATCACATTGAAGGGATTTCGCTATTCTCTTTTCATTTGGCATTTAAAAGTATAATTCTGACGTTTAACACAGTTGCGATTGGGTGAACATTAGCTTGCAAAATACAGTTTTATAAATTAATGTACATATTGCATTTCTCACTCTGAATTGAGTTGCTCAAAACACTGGTTAAGGCTAACCACTGGTTAAATCTCTTATCCAGTGGTTAACTTTTAACCGTTGGTTAAATTCTGTTGCTCAAAATTTATCCACTGGTTAACTTTGCTATCCAGTGGATAAATATTGGCTAAAGTTAGCCATTCCACAGAGGTGGGTTAAGTCTCTTAACCAGTGGATAATTATGGCTTCTAGATTATTGTTCAATGTTAATTTCGGCAGACGACAGAGGAAACAGAGAGTTTTTAGACATTTTCAACATGAGTTCGATGCTGATGAATATCAAGAAAGATATAGGTTTTCTCAAGAAACAGTTAATTATTTAGCAAATTTATTAGATCCTAAGTTATGTCGCCCAGCCATGAGATCCCACTCACTTGCAGCAATAAGTCAAGTAGAAATGGCTTTGCGATATTATGCAACGGGTGACAATATGAAAACTATAGGAGATACGATGGGGTTCCACGTCTCCAGCGTCAGTAGGAGTGTTCGCGATGTATCTCAGGCTCTCGCTGACATTGCAGAGGATTATATCACGTGGCCCACCTCTGCTGATGAAATAAACAACATCAAAAGGGGTTTCTATAGCATAGCAAATTTTCCTGGAGTCATTGGAGCAGCGGACGGCACTCATGTTAGTATTATCGGACCCACATTGCATGAGAATGTATTCGTAAATAGAAAGGGATATCATTCTCTCAATGTACAGGGAATCTGTGATCATCAAGGCAAGTTTGCTTATTGCACTTGAATACTTTAGTAACTGTGCATTTATTTCATTCAAGCAATACTGGTATATTTTATTTTGGTTATTTAGGACGATTTATCAATGTAGTCGCTAAATGGCCTGGTTCAAACCACGACTCCTTCATTTTTCGTGAATCTGCTGTCGGAATGTTCAGATTCCATTTCTGATATAGCTATATAGATGACTGGTAAAAAAAGACAGAACAATTTTTTGAATTATAATTAATTTTCCTCTTACCTTTTCCATCGTTTGCTGCCTCTGTCATAAAAAGATCATTTGTACATGCCTTCTTTTCTTGGTTAACAATTACTGCAATTCATGTGCATGGATATTAAAATATATATACATGTACTACAATGTATAATGTTTGTGTTAAAAATGCTATTATATTATGCATTCAAATCAGAATTAAATTTACCTGTATTTTCAACTGTATTACCACCTGCAGGATCTAATGAAAATAAAATAAATCTTAATCTGTACATGTACATGAGTATATATATCTTCAAGTAAGTTTCTTCTTTATTTAATTTATGCATATGAATTGGGTTTAAATTAAAAAAAATATTTGGAAATATTATATTTCGTATTGTCTTTGTATCTATTATTTTATAAACGCAAAAGCTTATACTTACTGGAATTCCCACAATCAGCTGAGTAAGGTAGTACCTCTGTAATTATAGGTTAAAAAGACAAAGGTTTAGGTCTAATATAGGAAAATAACTGCACAATTCATCAATTGACTTCTTTAGATATTGATCTTAATCGATTGAAAATAATACAAGTGATATTTTATAAGGCACTTCAAAATTTATCAATATTTACGTTGATTAAATCGGAGCGAAACGCATTAGGGGCGATATCCCTGAAACGACTACGACCTTTATTGTACAGTTGTACTATTATCGCATACGATACCATGATCGATTGAAGGATATTTTATATAATGTGGCAAATTTAATTATACCCGCACTTTCTAAAGAAAGTTCGGGTATATTGTTGTTACTCATGTCCGTCCGTCCGTCCGTCCGTCCGTCCGTCCGTCTGTCACACTTTTCTTCCCTGAACTCCTCTTACATTTTACACAGTAGGCTAATCATCTTTTGGGAGATGGTTTGTGGTGTCATGTAGATGTGCAGTAAAGTTTCGGAATTTTGATTTTGCCCCGGGGGGTCAAATGGGGGTCGAAAAATGACGTTTTTTATGCAAAAAGCCCCGTCTTCCCTGAACTCCTCTTACATTTTACACAGTAGGCTAATCATCTTTTGGGAGATGGTTGGTGGTGTCATGTAGATGTGCAGTAAGGTTTCGGAATTTTGATTTTGCCCCGGGGGGTCAAATGGGGGTCGAAAAATGACGTTTTTTATGCAAAAAGCCCCGTCTTCCCTGAACTCCTCTTACATTTTACACAGTAGGCTAATCATCTTTTGGGAGATGGTTGGTGGTGTCATGTAGATGTGCAGTAAGGTTTCGGAATTTTGATTTTGCCCCGGGGGGTCAAATGGGGGTCGAAAAATGACGTTTTTTATGCAAAAAGCCCCGTCTTCCCTGAACTCCTCTTACATTTTACACAGTAGGCTAATCATCTTTTGGGAGATGGTTGGTGGTGTCATGTTGATGTGCAGTAAGGTTTCGGAATTTTGATTTTGCCCCGGGGGGTCAAATGGGGGTCGAAAAATGATGTTTTTTATGCAAAAAGCCCCGTCTTCCTTGAACTCCTCTTACATTTTACACAGTAGGCTAATCATCTTTTGGGAGATGGTTGGTGGTGTCATGTAGATGTGCAGTAAGGTTTTGGAATTTTGATTTTGCCCCGGGGGGTCAAATGGGGGTCGAAAAATGACGTTTTTAATGCAAAAAGCCCCGTCTTCCCTGAACTCCTCTTACATTTTACACAGTAGGCTAATCATCTTTTGGGAGATGGTTGGTGGTGTCATGTAGATGTGCAGTAAGGTTTCGGAATTTTGATTTTGCCCCGGGGGGTCAAATGGGGGTCGAAAAATGACGTTTTTTATGCAAAAAGCCCCGTCTTCCCTGAACTCCTCTTACATTTTACACAGTAGGCTAATCAACTTTTGGGAGATGGTTGGTGGTGTCATGTAGATGTGCAGTAAGGTTTTGGAATTTTGATTTTGCCCCGGGGGGTCAAATGGGGGTCGAAAAATGACGTTTTTTATGCAAAAAGCCCCGTCTTCCCTGAACTCCTCTTACATTTTACACAGTAGCCTAATCAACTTTTAGGAGATGGTTGGTAGTGTCATGTTGATGTACAGCAGGGTTTTGGAATTTTGATTTTGCCCTGGGGAGTTAAATGGGGGTCGAAATATGACGTTTTTAAAATGTCTTAAATCATTTCTTTAAAACTAAGCGAAATACAAATTAAAAAGGATGGAGGTCAAGGTCACAGGAATGTGCAAGGTGAAGTTTTTGATGCAGGTGAGTAGCTTCACTAATACATATCAGCATATTATGTTTGATAAAAATATCTTGAATGATTTAATGAAGCTGAGCTTAACACCTTTTCTAAAAAAAAGAGAGGTCAAAGGAAAGGTTTGGGCCAAAATGTTGTTGCAGTTGAAAAGCTTACATCAGTATGAATTTACTATTAGCATATGAAGTTTGATAAAACTATAATTAATGGTTTATTTAAAACTTAGATAAACACATAATTTAAAAAGTGAGGTCAAGGTCAAAGGAAAATACAAGGTCAAAATGAGTTGATGTATTAATAGCTCTCAGCAGTATGTATTAGCATTTGAAGTTTGATAAATATATCTTGAATTGTTTATTCAAAACTGCTCTAGACATTAATTTTAGAAAAGTGAGGTCAAGGTCACAGGAATGGTCAAGGTAAAAAAGAGTGAAGCATTGTAAAGCTTACATCAGTATGTATCATCATGTGCAGTTTCATTACACAACTTGAACGGTTTCTTTAAAATAAAGCTAAACACTAATTTAAAGAAAAGTTATGTGAAGGTCAAAGGAAAAGTCAAAGTCAAAAAATATTGCTGCTGGTGGATATTTACATCAGTATGCATCAACATATGAACTTTGATAAAAATATCTAGAAAGTTTCTTTGAGCCCGATGGAAAGACAGATGGAAGGGTGGAGGACGGACATGACAAAAACTATACATGTATGTATTCCTAATCATGGTGTGGCATAAAAAACTTGAATCTACATTATATGAGGATGTTTCCATCTATCAAGATTATACAAGCAAATTCAAAGAATTGTAGTCCTCTGCTTTCTGTGTTTTAGTGAATGGGATGCCATAATTTATGGCAGATTGTGTGTCAAATATGCACCCCTATCATATATCAATTTTTGAAAATTGGGTCAAAGGGGAAAAATCATAGCATGCTCTGAAACATTTTGTTGCAGGTAATGTACATGTCAAATATGAAAGTCCTATCTCTTTTGAATCAAAAGTTATATATACAATATAATATTTTTGAAAAGTAGGTTAAACTTCTAGGTCAAGGTCACAGAGTCAAAAGTCATGATATATTTTGAAAAGTCTTTTCACATGTAATAAACATGTATAATTTGAATGCCCTTTCTTAATTCTCTTTCAAAATGATCAATTTAAAATGTTATTTTTTGGAAAGTAGGTAAAACTTTAAGGTCAAGGTCTCACTTCGGTTAAAAAATCATAGTGTATTTAGAAAGTTTTGTGGTAATGCACATGTGAAATATGAAAGCACAATCTCTTATTATTCAAAAGTTATGACCAAGGTTAAATTTATTGTGACAGATGCACATACTAGCTGTAAATAAGATGGACAGACTGACAGACAAATGAGATTTAATGTCCCCTCCCTTTCCCCAAAATGGGGGACAATAATGCCCTTGCTGTTCTTGAGAAGATTTATGATGGAAAAAATCCCCTGCATATTTCTTAACGCAAATCAATATTGTGTTTTTATGTCATTTTGTTTGTTGTTAAACATCCCTCTCAGGTATTTTTCACTCATATGGAGACACCACCACTTGAAAAATAATGAGGACAAGTTAGATTTGAGGTCAACATTCATTTTAGGAGTTTTCAACCATTAAGACGTATATAAAGAAATATTAACTCGATCCTTCCCCTCACTACTTCCCAGACCCCTGTTCAATGTTCATGTATGCAAACTACTACTTGTTTTTACATTTAAAAAAAATGTTTATACAAATAGTTTAATGTGGTCCATCTCCGAATGATTTTCATTCCTAATTCTAGGAAGATAGGTTGACACAAATTCATGAATAGAATGTCAAGTAATCTTATCATTGATGCACTTTTATTCAATTTAATGCAGTCATATTGTGAACATTTCAGCTCATTAGGAAAGTGGGGATGACCTCTAGGGGTTCATAACCTTTATACCATTAAATTTACATAACATAATAACACAAGAAACAAAATTATATATAGTGAAATGGAAAAAGTTTCCTACTATTTAGGAGTCACATGATCATTTGTCATTACAGGGACAGGGAAGTGGATTGGGAGATCCCCCCCTCAACACCCCCCCCCCTTGGAATTTGCAGGACTATAATATATACTGGAGGAAATAAAAATGACTTTGGATGCCCTAAGTGTCCCTCCACCCTAGAAAACAGACCCAACCATAACTTCTTTTTTTTTTTTTGCTTCTCGGGAAATTCTGGTCTAGCCTGGTCCCCTGTCTCATCCTTGCCAAGGCAGGAGAGCCAGGTGGATTCCATTGTACTCCACCTGGCCCTAGTGACGCGGAGTATATAAAGCAAAACAGGGACAGGGAACCAGGCTAATTCTGGTCTGGAAACCCCTCCCCCACCTCCCTCCCAGAAAAAAAATTCTGATCTTGTAACTGAATGTAACGTTGATAACGGGGGATAACTCTTCAGATTGTGAAATTCGTCTATTGTAAGTTTAAAGGATCAAAGGTCATCCGATGCTGAACCTAACCGTTTGCATTTCAGACTATTTTACCCAAATCTATACCAAAACTTGTACTTACCGATTGTCATTATTTAGGCACTGTTATCTTCATGAAATATAATCCAGTTAAAACACAAAATAAAATAATTCCTACTGACATATATGCAATGATGCACACTAGTAGCCTACTGCACGTGCAGTGAAATCTAAAATGATAATGCCAGTGGTAAAACTAGTACTTAAGTTGGGTACGTGACGCAAGCCCAGTGTGATGCAGGTGTTCAGATACATGTATAGTGCAAGAACAAATTGAAAATTATCATTTACAAAACATGTTTTATTTTAACTTTGCCATCTAGGCCTATTTCCAAAAACAGGCAAATAAGGTGTGTTTGTGTGTGTGTGTTGATGGGAGAGGTGTCGGGGTTGACTAAATTGATTGTGTATATGGCAGCTTTCAAGAAGTTTCTGCCTAATCAAATATAAATAAACTTTGCACATTTTGAAAAATTCATCAAAAACGCTTTACACTAATTTGAATAATATTATTTGTTGTTAATCTATATGAGAAAATATATTTAAAAGTTCCAATTATGTGCCACCCCCCCCCCTTATCAAACCTAATTTACATCATTAATTTAATTCTGTTGTCTAATTTCCGACTGGTAATGAATAAAGAATATGAAATACCTATAAGATGGAGGCCCATGGGTAACATAGTCACTAGCTGCAGATCTGTATAGCGTTATGGTTTTATATATTAGTCTTTGACCATAAAGCTACAGATCCTGTAATGCAAAAAAGGTGCAATTTACGGTGCAATATTTTTTTGCGCACTTCTGGGGAGAATTTCTCCACTTTCCAGCATCGGTCAATTTACTACCTTTCACCCCCTAATTCTAGGCACATTATTTAACTAATCTGTATATTTTATCCATCTCCAAACGTTTTATATTCGTCTCTACACGAGATAAACTCGCTTGATTAAAATTATTTGTTAGATTGCATAAAATTCAAATCAAGCGGGTTTATTGCCTGTAGAGATGACTATAAATGGCTGAGAGGTGGACAAAATATACATTTTGACTACAGAATGTGTCTAAAATTAGGGAATGAAAGGTAGTTGATTGACCAATGCTAGAAAATGGAGAAATTCTGCCCAAAAGTGCGCAAAAAAATATTGCACCGTAAATTGCACCTTTTTTGCATATGGTGATCTGTAGCGTTATGGTCAAAGACAAATATATAAAACCATAACGCTGCAGATCTGCAGCTACATGGTCACCTGAGCATATTATGCTCAATTTGAAGAATACATGTATTATGTAAATTATTGAAATATATTGACTTTTTCCGTGGTAAAGCCCAATATGAAGAAGTGTGCATTTAGAGGCAAACACCTTAGTGCGGGTATTACTGTCTCATGACAGCATCTAGTTTCTGATAGATTTCGACACTTTTCTCTAGTTTTATACAGTTTACGCTTAAGTGAGTCTCCGACGACAGAACGTATCAAACCCCGAGAATGTAACTCTTGCGAATTTCCTCATACGTACAGCATAGCAGACGACGTTCTCATAGATACACAAGTACAGTTGTACATGTATTATACAACTGAAAAAGGTTAAGGTAAGGTTTAACTTTTATATTTACCTGGTAAATGTAATCCAACCTCGACCCCTCCGGTTATTCCAAAGAAATTGGGCGAATCTGTAAGTCCACAACTTTCTGTGACACGAGATTCAGTGAGGGCTGTGGTGGCCCACCGCCGGTCTTAGCGCGGTCCTTCTTGATTGAGATAATGTCTGCCTTGGCTTTATTACACACCTTCCTGTACCTTTCTTTGATTTGATCCACAGTTCTTGTGGATCCTCCCCTTGAATTTATAGCATTGGTTATTTCTTTCCAAGCCTGTGTCTTCTTTATATTAGTGACTTGATTCGTTTGTTTCGATTTTATAACATCAAAATATTTCTCAACTTCCTCAATAAGGAACAGAGTTTCATCAGCTGAAGTTATTACTCCTTTTTTTTACTCACATGATCATCTACTTTGGAGGCCATTTTTGTTTTGGTTGACAAGTGGACAAATGTAATGCATTGTGGGATACTAACCAGTGGTTAAATCACTTAACCAGTGGTTAGTTAACCAGAGGCTAATTTTTATTTGAGCAACAAATATTTGACCAGTGGTTAGTTGGCCAGTGGATATCGAATTTAACCAACAGCTAACTTGTCCAGTGGTCAAATTTAACCAGTGTTTTGAGCAACCCAGTCCTGTTATAATAAGATTATATACTGAAGTCTGATTATTGGGTCGACCAGCTGTGTATTTTTGCATTCTATAAGCTGAAGTTGCACGTTGAGAACGTACCATTGTGAAATATAGCAGAAATACATAAATCATGCAGATATCTTATATCGAACCGTTGCATTTTATTTTTTATTATACTACAGTCAGAAAAAATATTGACTTCTAATAGTAATAGTGTTATTCCTTGTGTATCAACCATGCACATGTTAGTTTAATCTCACATTCACTCGGTAAACAAAAGAGCTTTTTAAATGTTACCTTTTTATTTTTCTGCAAGAATGGAACAATTTAAATTTCTTTTGTTCATTTTACTGTGTTTTTGCTAAGATCAGAATGAGCAAGGGATATAAATAATCTGCGCTATATACGATGTTGAAATAACTATCCTGGAAATTCCTATCGGTGTTAACTAACCTTTTTGAATCCAGACTCTGCTGAGGCACTGCTCTGTTGCGTCGTCATTTTCATTTGTCAGACAGTGATAGTAGTTAGGTTCTACACATTGTAATCTTTGTGACGCCAGATTCCAACTTGGGATGTCCTCTGGGCAGTAAAACATACCCATCTGAGGTTATAATGATTCTAGGGAAAAACCTTTACTTTCGGTTTACATCAATTTTTGTCTTATAGGTTCTACAGATTGGATTCAACATGCTCAGAATGGTTTTAAAGAACGATAACTAAAAAAAGTTCGATAATTCAAAGCTGTAAACATAGTTATCATAGTAATTACTAAATAAACAGGTCAAAAGAAAATAAAACATGTTTTAAAGATTATTATCACGTACACAAAATAAACTTTGTCAATCATACCTCCAACACAATGTATTCCCTTCTTTATATTTTTAAAAAGAATTTTAAAGGTTTTTAGGAAAACTCCACCAATAAGTTTTTGTGCAACGTTTTTGCCCTCTTAGAATAGAAACGAGTTCAATTTTAAATTAACTGTGATTAATTAAACATACATACATATTTGCAACTTTTATTAAAGATAATACACGAGGTGTTTTTTGGTAAAACATCCAATATTAAAATTGATCCACGAAGACAAAAAAAAATTATACTCGTGTGTTCTGTAGAATTTCGACCAAAGCTATTGGAGGAAAATGTTTCTGAAAACTTCTTTGAATATTTCTGTCTTGAGCAGAATTTTGTACTGTGCATTAACATTTGTAGTGGTGGTATTAAAAAAACGTTCATCTCTTGACTCTCTGACAATAATGATGTCTTTGAATGTTCGTTTTAAAAGATGTATGTTTTCAACAATTTAGTTGGAGTAAGACAACGGAAAATATTGTTACCTTTATTGACACTCGAATCGTGTACTTTTTCATTCAAAGAAGTTTTCAGAATCATATTTTCAATAACCTTGAGATGTTGATAACAATTTTTTTATTTACAAATTGTACGTGTAAAATCTATAAAGAATAGCGCTGGAAAAGGTCTGTGATAACGATAAACAAAAACTAGTTACTTTATGTGTATTTATTTAAGTGTAGTTTCAATTTTGCTTTTATTTATTCTTAAATAGATAAAAAAAAAAGAAATAAAGGTTCATTTTTCATCAGCTTTTCACCCAATTTCTGTACTCAGTTCTGATGAGATAAAGAATATAGATCTATATTCTACACTTTAAGGACATTCACTGGATTTGATTCTGTAGTACAATATAAAAGGATTGCAGATATAAATACATTTTAATCAACCAAGAAACTGCAAGTAATTTTCAAAGGAGACAAAACTATTTCCTTAAAACAGATGAAAATTTTTACAACTTGTATTGTATTTAATACTGCTATAAAAATCCTCTCTCTTTGTTGTGGCAATAATTTAGACTATGATAATATATCTCTCATGAAATAACGGTGTTTTCTGTAGATGTGTCTTGTGCTCAGTCCATACAGATAGCGGCATCTCCAAAACAAACTTCGACGAAGGTTGCTGTGATGCTGCTGTGAATATTTTATCAAAGTCTTCACGGAGGGCCTCTATCTGAGGCGCTGATTTAACGTCCGCAAAGACGTGCTGGAAGAAGTAGACTTTGGTGTATATGTCTGCCTTAAATTCGTTCATACTCTTCACAAACTGACACTTATCGTATCTATTCTCATAAATAAGAGGTTCATAAGACTCCGCTATCTTGTCCTCATCGTCCCCAATGTAAATAAATACATTTTTCACTTGTTCTGCAGATTTGTGATTTATTTCTGGAATTAAAAAAAAGACCGTGGTTCAATCAAAAATTACCAGAGGAATGTGACGTATCCAAAATACCAGGCAACGTTCTATATTTACATACCCAAGAAAGGTTGTTTTTCAACATCAGCTGAACTATTCCGAACAATTGTACCGTTTCCGTTCACGATTTCTATTAAAAAAACACTACAGTAGTGACTACAATTTCTAGATCGAATGTCAATGAAAAAGTCATGTCTAATGTATGTTTAATGCACACACCTGCGTTAATAAAATCATCAAGGATACTTTCCTGCCTTAGAGTTTTCCGGTATTCGATATGAACTTCATGTCTACATCCTAAAATCAAAGGAAAATTATTTTTATTAAATAGTTATACAAAACATTTGACATTAAATCAAATAAAAAGAACATACATGTATATAGTTCCGTTATGCCATAAGCCAATTGATCCCCAAATATACCTTTAAAACATATTCATGTGGCTGTTCATTGTGGCATTTACCTTTGTGCCTTGATCTCTTTTTCCGACATAGTACACATATGAACACCCCTACA